CTCCGTGCCCTAAGGATGGCGACCGGTACATCGTCGTCAAGGCAGGGTTTCGGTGACAAATAGGTGTAAGATTCATTGTCTTGAATCGAAGATTGAAATTAGTTTGGTTGATTTGGTTTGTTTTCATTGAGATCTGATGTTTTTTTTTTTTCAGTAGAAAAAGACAATAGGGCCCAAGGTGAGTTGGACATTGATAAATTTTTCTTTCATCTACTTGTAGTAACTGGCAAAGAATAGGGAAAAAACAGAGAGAGAGAGAAACAATTTAGAAAATTAGAAAATTTTCCAAGGCTTGGAGATATGCATGACTGCCCATACTCCACAGCTGTATATAACACAGACTATGTAACCAATGACAAGTAAACATACTAGTGTTCTGCATCGATTTCTAGGGTCATTAATACTCCAAATATTACTTGTTTTGAACATTAGTAATTGATATGACAAGTAGCCTGTCAAATTATCAAATCAAAAAAAGTAAAAAAAAAAAAAAAGTGTTTCAATGATTCAATCAACTTCAAAACTCTAAACACACAAATTTTTAGTATGGAAAATATTTTTAATACACGGTGAGATATGCATGTGAGGTGCTGATGTGATCTCGCAAGTATTGCACATCAAGAGTATCAATACTTACAACCCTGCCCAGGTGCGCAAAACACTGACGTATTCAACTCTGATTGGTTATGTAGCCTGTTATACACAATTGTGCAAAGCAGCAGATTTGGACTCCACTGGACACTATCGATAAGGTCAATCATATATCATATATATAATTTTTTTTTTTTGTTCTATTGGGTGATCATAATTCATAGAGGACCATATGAAAACAGAGACTCCTCCAGGACTAGAGGAAGAGAAGTGCCCACCATTTAATTAATGTTCTCCCAGAAATAATCAGGAGCAAAAGAAAACATTATTAGGGATAATGACAGAAACCCGGCCATAAACAAGGGTGGAACCCATTACCCATGAATGGGATGGTCCAGTACCGGAAATCCAGGGCAACAGAGCCCCTGGTTGAATGAATAATATAAACATGATCTAGCCCATTTATTTTAGGTTTGGGTTTCCAACCGAAAATTGGTCAAATACTGGACCCCTTTCCTAGTTTCCTTCCTTCTTCATGGGAAAAAAAACAAATAGTGTGTACGCCTATACGGTAACCGAATGTTACGTACTCACAGAGTTTATTACAACGGACTCCATGAATCAAGCTGAAACACAAAGTGGGCCTCCGTGGGCTTCACATTCTACAACCCAAATTTATAAACTAATGGGCCCTTCATCAATACAATATCCCAATGATTATGAGAGAGAGAGAGAGAATTTTAATATCATACAAGGAACTGAGGAAGCATTCCATACACATTGTTGTTTGTATTAACAGCGAATTATTCAATAAATTAATGCTAATGTGATATTAAATTACAGACAAATTATTCAATAAAATAATGCCGATATATAATATTAAATTACACGCCGTGTCGGCGACCTAAGTTTAATTAGCTTTGATGTACTTAAGTCAATTTCCATTAAAATACTTCATTATTTAAACAAAAATGGCACAACATTCGCCTATAATCCATTTGAATATTTGATATAATATTGCATACAAAATCTTATTAATTATATAGAGTGACTTAATCATTCTTGATACAACCTAAATATTATAATCTGATACAAATCATTCAAGTCCCCCCCCCCCCCCATACACGAGAAATCCTAGTTGTCTTTCACAATAGATTGGAGAGAGCTCAGCCCAGTAAATAAAATTAAAGAAAAATAAAAATGAGGGAAACAGTTTTTTTTTTTTTTTGGCAGAGTGCAAACCCTTCCCCGAGATTGCAGGTTTTGATGCATCAAGTATGTTAGGGTCTGTTTGGCAGGTGCCACTTGTGCTTCTTCACGGGGCATTGCTCAGAAGAGTCAGAACTTGCCGTCAAATCCCTGTTCCAATGGACCCATTTCTTTTTGGTTATCACTTTCTCATTCCATTTTCCCGCCTTCTGCAGTCTCAACCAGAGTCAAGTTGGCTCTCAACTTTTTTCAAAAACTCCAGCAAGCTAATGCAAACTGCACCCTAGCAAACAGCCCCTTAACATGCAAACAATTGTTCTCATACCAGATACCACTACTGTATTATGTTAATAAACAATGCAGATATCTTCAGAATACTAAATTAATTTATTAGAACTAAAGTTTCTTGAGTGGGTCGTTACTAGGGTTTTTTTTTTTTTATATTGGTCTAGGGAATATAATCTATTAACACCCTAAGGGGAATCCAGGCCCTATTTCTACAATGAGAACAATCCACACCATCTATCAAATAGTGGGCCCTCTACTAGGTTGATGATGTCTTCAATTCTTTAATTTATGTTATCCCCAAACCCCACCATTTCTTTTGCAGAGTAACATAAACACTGAAAAGCCTCACCCTTTACCAGAAGAAAATAAAAGGGGGGCTTAACAAGGCCACGTGGTAGGCGCTTCTGGCAGGAATTGGCCCATGAATGGAGTATGGAGACAGAAACATATGGAGCCCTTTTCTGCCCCCACTGAGCAGTGAGCAGCCACGAGTAAAACATTAAACCTCTGAATTGCTCAGGTCCCTCCTGAGTCCTGACGACTTGTCTTACCACACGTTCTTGCGCATTTTATCAAACACTTGGAAGGCTAAAAAGTTCAGAGAAATGGCCACCATTACAGCAGCTGTTAGTAACTCCTTTAATGGTAATCTGGGTTTATCAGCCTCAAAAAATTTGGGATGGGGACCAGTTCATGAGCTAAAAACTTTTTATGAAGTGCTAACAGCTGTAGTCTGCCTCCCCCAATTTCTGATGACTAGACACGTAATGGAGGTAAGTACACAGTACCTCCTGTCCCCTTGAAGACAACAAAGACTACTCACTCAAAATTAGGACTTGAACGATTTTCATTTTAATGGGTCGCTGGCTGCCATCAGCAACGGCTACAGAACGCAATGGTGGTTGGCATATAAAAACATCAAAACACCATTATGCACTTACACACAAATGCTTGGACTCTCATGTGATGCCTACATCTAATCCTGAAAAGGCCTGTAACATCAGTGTACCATATTATGTAAATGATACCTACAGTCTCCACAAAGGGATGTCTGACTTTTTCCCACGAATACATGTACATGCATAGAGGGCAGAGTCTGAATTATGAGGGACAATCAATGGATTAGTCTTTAAGTTGTTGTCTTTTGAAGAACAAATCCCAGACAAACAACCGCTCTCCAGCCAACTTTCTTAACAATGGCCCTGCCCCAGCATGTTAGGTCTGAACTGAAGTTGGGCCTTTGCAAGGCCTTTCTTTTTTGTGTAATTATGTGGGCTTCAGATTGGGCCCCTTGTTGGGCCTTTCAGTAGGATTGTAGATTGGGATACATGGAACCATGTTTGGGCAGACTGTGTTGCCAATTTGCCGTGTCAATGTCATGAAAGGCTGTTTGCATTTGTCTCACTTAAATCCTACCTAACCTGAAATTTGATAAATTCTAGTCAACAGCAACTTTAATGCAACTTTTCAAATTATGGGACCTTGCCACCATGTATGCAGGTGAATCCAAGAGTTGCACAAAACCGTTGCTTACTTGAATTTTAGAAAGAGTTGTTATAGGATCTTCGATAAAGATAGACCTTCAACAAGATATGTAAGATGCAAGAAATCTTTCTTTTCCCTATAAATAAAACAATGGTAGATCCTCGTCGTCATCATCATCATCTAAGCATTGTCCCAACTGTGCGGGGCCAGAGCACCAGCTACAGGAATCCTGTTCAGTGCTATATTCATTGTTTGAATCAATCACTTCACCCATGTATTTTTAGATCTGTCCTTAGGCTTATCTCTTCTAGCCCCTTCAACTCATAATAAATCAGTTCTTAATGATTCTGTAAATAGTTTTCCCTGCACATGTTTAAACCATCTAAACTTACCTATCTTCGGAGCTACTCCTATATTCCCTTAAATAAATTTGTATCTGATCCTTTTTTTTAGTTTTTCCACTCATCCATCTTAACATTTGTATTTCTGCACATTCATTTTTTTTTTTGGAAAAATTGCTTCTTGGTTACCTAAAACTCTACTCAGTACATCATTGTTGACACCATAACTATTCTATAAGATTTTCTTTTCAGCTTGAGTAATATTCTCCTATCACATAAGACTCTAAAAGAACCCCTCTTTTCATCTTGTTGTGGATTATTGGTCCAAGATAATGGAAGAAGTCACATTATCTTGGTTTCCAGTTTTAAGTATACCCTGATTTCACTCCTATTGTTATTAAATTTACATTGCATATACTTTTATTTTAGTCATTTATTTTAAAATTTCTAGAGTATTTGTCTATAAATTTAATTTTGCATTTAATCCCTCTTTAGTTTCATCAATTAATGCTATGTCGTTAGCAAACACCATACATCATAGAACCTCCCGTGTATGTTTAGTTAATATATTCATGACTGGTGCAAAAAAACAAGGGCCAAGTGCTTGGCCTCGGTGAATTTCTGTCAATTCATCCATGCTTAATGCAAAAGAACAAGTGCCAAATGCTTAATCTTGACCAAGGTTTGTGGTAATACAGATTACAGATACATCTTAGGGGAAAGAAGGCACCTCACTCAAGACTTGGCATGTTGCAATTAGTTATTCATTGGTGCAAAGATCGGAAAATGGCTTGGCTGACACAGGCCAAACAAGGGGTGAATAGGGTTCAAATTTTCTAGGCATAATTGTAAGGCAAGCTTATGAAGTAAAAATGGGAAGGGTTAGATAGTTGAAGCTGCTAACCTATGTTTGGGATTGCTACATTCAGCTATATTTAGAACGTTCTTTTTTTTTCGCAATTAAAGTTTAGCTGTTATCTACCATAAGAACAAAAATAATTTCTCTAGTTTTTATCTATCATCACACTTTCCTTTCAATATTCAGTTGATTCATTCATGGACTCCAATTGGCATCATGGGAAAACGTTGAAGCAAGATGGTATAATCGCTTTATCCCAACCTAGTTCCTTTATTTGGTTGAAGGGATTTAAAAGCACTCGAAGACAAAATAAGAGATGTATATGTGCTCAAGTGGCATGGGCGGAACTTCAATAAAAATTAAAAAAGAAAAAAACTGGGATACCTGATGATGGAAAGTTGCAGCCAGTGAAAGTAAATTTGAACTACTTAACCTATTTATGTACTCCAATGACACTGAGCAGATCAAGACTCACTAGGAAGAACATTAAAGAAATGATAGATCTCTTCTTTGTCAATGACACCTACTTCTGTTGAGCAGACCAAGCAACAAACAGGCTTAAATGTTTCACTCTCCACATGATCTTCACTCTCACCAAAATCTGTTGTACGCTTACTCTTCCTTGATTTTCGTTTGCTCTGCCGCAATATTTGATCACTTCTAATCTTGCAGTTGACAACAAAGATGGCCCTGTACTGTGTTACATACTTCTCATGCCTGCAAGACCCAAATTTTAGTTCAGTGGTGATGCAAAGAAAATTAAACCATACACAAATTTTTGTATATGATATTTGACAATCACTAGTTTCTGTAGAGGACTGTTGAAACTGGGGCAAATAGAGTTAAAAAAAAAAAAAATCTAATATAATATTTTCTCAAGACCCAATAAGTATGAGCAAGTATTTTCCATCTTTTATTCTTTCTTTTATATTCTAATAACAAATTAATAATTTTCAACTGAAAGAGTGTAGCAGTTTAGTGGGGGGTGCAAAGGGGAGAGGGATGACCACAGGCATGTACCCCACCTCAAACTAATAAAAAAATATTGTAAGGTTAAGACCAGAAATTAAACCTGTTTTGGTCTCTGGGTTATGGATTGAACAGCCCAACCATTCAACTTGCTCAAACAAAAAATTAAAATATAGTAAACTGATTACCAATTATTTTAAAAGTTATTTTGCATTCAAATAAGCATAAAATATAAATGTAAGAGATTACAATACCCATTAACACATGTAGTTGTATTGGGCTCCTTATGAGGTGGGGTCCACACACTAACAAGGGCTGATGGAAAAAAGGACAAAAGGGGGAGAATGGAAAAAGGTCCAATTCTCTCACTCTAAATCTCTCTGGTAAGAAGACTTTGGGGTTTGAAAGCTAGGGTTTTCTTGGAGGTTATCTCACTTTGTTTGAGAAGGAAAGCTGCTTGAAGGTGCATCCATATCAAGGTTTTGTTGCTTATCATCTCCACGGATCAGTTCCGAAGAGTGCTTGTGCATCTATTGAGATGAGAAGACTCTATTTCTTTGTTGATTGTAAACCACCATTTTGGTGAGGAGTTTGGATTGTAAACTAAGAGGGTTTCTCTTGATGTTTGATATCTTATAGTTGCTGCTAGATAGGAGCTTTGTATTCCCATTATCATTGTTATAGTGGAGATTTCTAGGTTAGTGCCCTATGGTTTTTCCCCTTCACATTGGAGAAGTTTTCCACATTAAAAATCAGTATATACTTTCTTCTTGTCTGTAATTGTTTGTTGTTCCTTATTATTGTTATTTCGTACTCTGTTAAGGTTTAAGTTGCTTTGGAACAAATAAGACGTATTCAAGATAAACAGTACAAAACAGGGTATTACGACTCCCAAATACTCTGTTTTTCACAACTACAGCGTATTCCAAAGGGCAAAACAGTGTATTACACAGGTAATGCCTAAAACAGAGTTTTAGCTTGCTTCCAATTTGTAATCACTCATGGAGAGTGGGAGACGAGAGAAAGAGAGAGAAAAAGAAGAAAAGGGAGATACGATTGAGAGGGAAAAAAAAGATACTGCTGGCTGCCGCCAGTTCTCTATTTATATGCCCCTGGCGGCACACCCTAGAACCAAACTAATAAGGAAAAAAGGACAAGTAACTAACTGACAGTATCTTAAGAAGTCGGCCTACTAACAGCAACTATAAAGTAACAATTAAATAAGCCTTACAACACTCCCCCTCAAGTTGGGCTGAATATGTCTATCATGCCTAGCTTGTCACATAACTCATTGTGTTGCGAGTATGGAAGCCCCTTTGTGAGGACATCAACAAGTTGTTCCTTGGAGTTGACATAAGGGATGCTTGGTCCTCTCATGTAGGACAGGGTTGCTGGCGATGTTTATTGCAGCCTTGTTGTCACAGTAAAGAGACATAGGACTATGAACAACTCCAAGCTCCCCTAGAAGATTTTTTAGCCAAAGGACTTCAGCCACCCCATGTGCCATAGCTCTATATTCAGCTTCAACGCTTGACCTTGCTACCATACTCGGTTTCTTCCTCTTCCAAGTTACTAGATTTCCTCGCACAAATGTGCAATACCCACTTGTGGACTTTCTGTCATCCACAACTCCTGCCCAATCAGCATCTGTAAAGACTTCCACCTTTAGGTGATTGTGTTTACTGAATAGTAGACCTGTTTCGGGATATTTCTTCAAGTATCTAAGAACTCTCTCCGCTACCTCCATGT